CAACAGCGCGAAGAGCGGCCACAAAATGCGTGCAGGCGCGCGACTCGCACAACGTGGCGTATGAGTAACGAGACGCTGCGTAACAAAACCTGACAAATGCAGTACAAATTGGAACAACAACAACAGCAACAACAAACGAGTGCAAAGTTACGCCAAGTGCCTTAACTGCTGCCATTCCATGGAATTTTAATTAAAAACTTAACCAGCTCAAAACGAAAAAGAAAAGGAAAATAAAAACACAAACAATTGAATCAAGAATTTGATCTTTAGGCTCCCAAAGATTAAATACCCTGGCAACACAGATTACCCTGAAATACACACGCTTTGATGACAAACTGTTCTTAATAAAACAAATTAATTGAATGAAAAGTTCATTAAATAAGGCAATTTCAAAGGATTTTCAAGCGAAACTCGATGCGACATTTAAAAATGTCTATGTAAAAATAATTGTTTGGTTAATTGATTCTTTGATAGATTTATGATTTACCTATAGCTTTATGCAAATATACTCTGCTTACCTTCAATTAATGAAGCTAGCAGACGAGTTTTGAACAAAATTCCACCCGCAACTGTGAAAAATCGGTGGAAAACGCTTGCGTGAAACTTCAACTTCAACGGATTCCACGATTTGTCGTGTTTTTGCGCAATCCGCTGCGCTAAGTGAAAATGCGCACTAAATCTATAATGGTAAAATGTAAACAGATGGGAAATGGGTGGATTTGTAAAGTTGAATATGAGAATAATGTTAAGAAAATTTGACCCACACGAAACCGGATCAAGTAAGATGATTGGTCAAGTTGTGAAAACCATATGCTGATATAGAGATTCGTTTGTATGCGTTACATGTTGCCTAATCGCATTATCATACCCGCTGCAACATTGTGAGTGAACAATGGAATAGAGCCAGGAGTGCTCATAGACTATAGATAGGCAGGGGGCTGGCATTTGAATGTGGGCACATAAAATAATTATATAACAAGAGCAAGAACAATAATATCGGCCGTCGTTCGACAGCTGACAGCTGTGGTTAAAAATTGCTTTGGGATTGCTTGAACACAATTAATTAGATTCCCGGCTCGAAGGAATAACGTTAAATGAAATAATTGAATTATCCTTACAATAAACTTGTCCAATCATTCAAGCATTTAATTCGCACCTGGTAAAGTTGCCATTTAGAAGCTCTAGCCGCAAGTGCCAAGACTATGAAATACCCTGTACACAGTAATAGCCATAGAGATTGTATAGTTCACGTAACTGGCATGAAAATCGAAAAGGTGTAAATGTTCAATTATAATCCATTTGAAATACATTTAACCGTTTAACATCTGCATTCTAGAATGGACCCTGGCAGTTAACATTAGTTAACAGCATAGTCTTTGCTAGCTTGGTCGCATTTCCGTTGCCTGTAATTCTCAAGTGGTTATAGCTTCGTACTGAGAAGAAGGCTGTGCAAATCTAAAGGCGAATACAAACTTTGCTGATGAGAGAACCTGTTCTTGAAACAACTGCACAGCGTGTTGACTAACATTATCCCTAAACTGAACAGCATATAAAAAATAATAATAATTGATTAATGATCTCAATATTTATCTCAATATTATATACATGTAGATCCTTGCTATGGCATACTACTAAAATGTTAACTTTATTAATAATTCCAGATCCTAGGAAAACTGCATAAGGATTAAGGCCTACGCTAATTGACTGTAAGGGAATATATAAAGAAAATATAAAAGTAATCGAGATATGCTCAGAAACCCAGATACATGATAACGATATTTATCGATTTATCGATATTAAGCAAAAAAGAAAAGCGTTTGCAATGTCCGAGATGGAAGCATTCATGCAGATGGACAAATGGAAGGAATAACCCGGTTCTTACATGGGGTTCAGATAAATAGAAAATTTTAGCAAAAAATTAAACATAAAAACATTTATCGGTTTGAATTCGGCATTTCAATTAGTTTTTAACCGGCACCCACATCTTAAACCAAATAAATTGTATCAAAAACAATCATCGAACTCTATATATATATAAATTATATATATATATATATAATCTAGCCCGCAGCTTCTATATGAAAATATCTACGATTTGCAATATATTCAGTAGAACGGGCAAATCTAATTAGGAAAACTAAATTGTTTGATAACAAATTTGAATATAAATCAGAAACCGTAGCATGGATCTGAGTGAAAAACCAGGCAAGGGCCAGCAACAATTTGTCGTGAGGCTTGCAGCTCGGGCCCTATATGCTTGCTGCAAGTCAATTCTATGGACATACATATATAACCGAAGGTTTCTTGAGCAGAATGGCTACATTAATACATAATTCAGTTTGGGGTGGGGGTGGCAGGCCCTTCCGGCTGTGAGCCCTGTCAATGTACACGTCTGCGTCACCGGGCTCGACTGCGAGTCCGGATACAGGCCCAGGCTCGAGTCCAGAAACTGGGCATTGCCTGGACATTTTATAAATAGTTAAGCGCACGAGAGTTGCGCGCGCGAGCCAGAAGCAAAAGTCTGCAGCTGGAACTGGACGGCGGCAATAGCGAATCCCCAGGACATTGCAGCCAACCAAAGGAGGCCAAAAGTCGTGTGGGCGATGGCAGCGCAGTCGACGCAGGGGCTTGCGTCATGTCTGATGGGGCGGCGCGACGTTGACAATTTGCTGCCTTCATTGCACAATTTAACAGTTATTGTTGTTGCTATTGCACAGTCTCTCTCTCTCTCTCTCTCTCTCTCTCTCTCTCTCTCTCTGTCTTTTCCTCACGCCCTCTAATGGCTGGCTTTTTCGCTTATTCGCTTGATGCGCTCTCCGAGCATGTCACGGCAACAAATTGTTGCACAGTCAGCTTCGGAGTTGACGCCAACGCAAACGCTGACGCTGGCGTTTCGCTGTTTTCATTCACATTTAACAGCGTGGCAAATTCGTGCTCTGTCTCTCTCTCTCTCCCTCTCGCTCTGCCCCACGTCTCTCTCTCACTCTCTCTCTCTCTATCTCTCTGTTGGCTACGCACGTTGCACGTTGTTGTTATTGTTGGCCTTTCTGTTGTGCGCTTGTTGTCGACTTCTTGCATTTGTTTTCCGGTTTTTATATTTTTCTTCAACTTTTTAACACTCCGCTTGCGACCACATGTCATATCAATGTCATTACAGTTTAGCAGGCGCTGTTGCCTCCAAAACTGTATTGGCCTACCCACTCACTGTGGCTCTCGTCCTGCCGGCCGCCATGACTTGCACTCTGCGCACCTGCGCTGTGTTTTTGCGACGCATTTTCTTGGCTGCTGCTTCACATTGTCTTTCGTCATCCTCTCTCAGTGTGTTTGCCTCGCTCTTTGCATTAAACGTTTGTTTTTGTTTTCGCACCATGCTCCTTACTCACCCGGTTTTCTGCAGGCTCTCGCTCTCGCTCTCGCTCTCGCTCTCGCCCTCGCTTCCCAACCTCCCAAACGGGCACTCTCTGAGTACACAAACATAACAACAATAAACCGTTTACGCTCTCACGCCTGTTTCGACGCGCTCTGCTGTCTGTGTGTGTGTGTGTGTGTGTGTGTGTTTGGGTTTGTTGTTGTTTGCCTCGTAATGAACTCCAATTAGAGGACGCGCTCCCGTTGGACTTCCTAGCCGTGCTCTGCACCGTTGCATCGGCGACGGCTGCTGCTGCGGCTTCTTCTTCTGCTCTCTGATCTCTGCTGGCAGAGACACAGAGGCAGCTTAAAAGCTACTTTTTTATTCTTCTACTAAGCTTCTCTTCTTCTACTTCCGCTTCTGTTTGTGGCATCTGCACTTTGAACTTCTAACACTGGCCGAAAACTTTCTGACTGAATATTATTTCCTTACATTTACGGCCTCTCCTTTCAAATATCCTGCATCCACAGCTCAATGCTAAATCGATATTTATCGATAAATTAAAATTTAGCGGCTGGTTTTGTCGCCGCACACTGATCGATCAGGTTTAAAAGCTAGCTAAATTAATAAAATATGATCAGGTATGTAATTGAGAAGCTCACACTTCTTTCTATATAGCTAACCGATAAGAACGACTATGGTCAGCTGCATGAAGATGATCCTGCTAAGAGCAAGGCTTGAATCCCTTCACTCGTTAAAAGTGATGAGAACTGACCCAATTCTCCCGTTTTATAGGACTAGTCGTAGGGCGCAGCATAATTCTGGAGTCGAACAATTGCGCAAACAATGCGCCAATGCAAATTGTATCGATCGCATCCAACCAGGTTCAAGGCTACTTCTAGTATTGATTATCTCTGTGAGCTAAGCAGCTTGGATTGTTGTTTGAATGATCGAGAACGTGGAAGTATCACGAACTGGTTTGAACCCGGTCTTCTAATTGAGAGTATACCATGCCCAAAAAGCAGAACCGAACCGAGCCGAAGCCCGCACCAAATAATGTTATTTTCCTTGATAATATATATATACTATTCTAGAAGCTACAAGTCAAGTTTAATGACTCTAGCTCTTATTATTTACCAAAGTTGCTCAAAAAGTCAGTAATTCAATATCGATTTCTATCGATTACTTGGAGTTATCGAGTATCGGACATAGCTAGATCGATTCGGTTGCTGATGCTGATATAGAATATAAGTATATACTTTTTATTAACCCTTGTTTAATGGTTTTCTTTATATACATTTATGAATAAGGCGAAAGTCTTCTGAGAGTAATAAATATTTTATTTATGCTATACGATAAGCTGATGAACATTGAATCTTCAAGATATGCTCAAAACCCTGGCTGCACATTGATATTTATCGATTTCAGGGAACCGGAACGATAACTAAATTTGTAACTTAAATTATCGGTTGAAGGGTCCATTTACATGGATGTTAACATTTTTATCGATTACTATATATCGTTTAGTAATCGATAACATATTCAAGGCTTGCCTTGCGGCTGTTGTAATCCTCTGATAAAAACTGAATTAACATTCATTCGATTTCCTTATCATCTCGGCTACAAGTCGTGACAGTAACAACGCTTCAACTGAATGCAACAACATATATTTGAAAATATTTAAAAACAAAAATAACAATCATAAAATTTATAATCAACGATTACGAATGACAATCCGTAGATATCATTCAAATGGTAGTCAACGGTTGGCGTTACTTATCGGTCACAATACTGGGTCCATCTGCTTCTTACCGCAACAACCAAACTTTTTCACCACAGACACACCTCCTAATCTTTCGTTCAATCGCCTCCAATTGAGAGATCAGCTCCATGCAGAGCTGTCCTCGCCGTGGACATCCGACACAAGGCTTACCGCCAGGTCCGCATGGCTTCCATGGACACCATGGCTTCTGGGTTGTTGGCGTGGGTGGTGCCCTTGTTGTTGTTGTTTGTGTCGTGGTTGTTGGTGTTGTGGTTGTTGGTGTCGTAGTTGTTCGTGTTGTGGTTGTTGGTGTTGTGGTTGTTCTTGTCGTGGTTGTTGGTGTTGTGGTTGTTCTTGTCGTGGTTGTACGTGTTGTTGTTGTCGGGGTAGTAGTCGTTCGTGTTGTTGTTGTTGGTGTTGTCGTCGTTCTCGTTGTCGTTGTTGGTGTTGTCGTTGTTCTTGTTGTTGTTGTTGTTGGACATGGTGTCGTTGTTGTTGTTGTCGTTGTTCGTGTTGTCGTTGTTGTTGGGCATGGTGTCGTTGTGGTTGTCGTTGTGGTTGGGCATGGTGTCGTTGTCGTTGTTGTCGTTGTGGTTGGGCATGGTGTTGTTGTCGTTGTTGTTGTTGTTGGGCATGGCGTCGTTGTTGTTTCACAGGGTTCTGGTGTTGTTGGTTCTGGTGTTGTTTCTGGAGGACAGCCGCAATCAGCTAAACAGAGATCAGCACTGCTTAAGAGCGCGATGCTCGCTGAAATTATGAATTTTGTTGCTAAGCCAGTCTCAAGACCAATTGCAATACGATTTTACCAATAAGGCAGACAACAGCTAGCTTCATTTCGATGTATTCACTGAGAGCTCTGTTTGATCCCTTCACTCCTAAAAGTGAAAGTGGAAACTGATAATTTAACAAGCCAATCTACGCTTTATATAGGGCTCATCGTTCTACTGTCGCTGTACACGTGCCATTCATTTTGGCATCGAACAATTGCGCAAATAAATGCAACTAAATTTTTGAGCAAATATTTATTTAATCAGGTTTGCGGCAGGTTGCATGTTAAATATAGACAAAAGAATGTCAAAATTTTGAAATATGCGATGGATACGCTTGAAAGATGCGAATATTTTTTGTGATACGCATGCCATTTGATTATTCTTAATGGAATGGGAAAGGCCTTGAATTTATTTGTTATGTCCTGAACCATTTGAAAATGGGCAAATGAAAGCGTCTCGGACCCCATGAAGTCTACAAATCAATCGAACCATGTCCGTCAGTTCGTATAAATAAACACATCCAACTACGTCAATAATTGAGCTAGGGAATTGAATTTGTGGAAATCGTTATCGATAAGCTATCGATAACTAGTTCCGCTTTCATGTAATCGATTAGAATCGAAACTGAAAGCTTGTTGTCAGATCCAGAGTATTCCACTTTTTTGATACCTAAGTGGGCGGGGCAATCTATCGACGAATTGAATAAAAATTGATCTACTACTACAACAGAAGAAGCTATATTCCAAATTTCAAGTCTCTAGCTATTCTGAGATCAGTTTGGTACTAAGAATATTGAATGAATTCCGATGAATCTCTTTGAAAATGAGTTTGAAACCGATAACAAATCAAAAAGCTTAATTAGGTTTTTTGTTTACAAATTTCCACCGTTACGGGTGGAATTTTATAAATCGCTGAGACACGTATTCATAAAGTTTTTAGGTAAAATTTTAAAAATAAGTTCAATGCAAATCTCACAAAACTTCGCCCACAAAAACTTTAAATCTCATTTCTACCGAGGAAGTTTGGATGCTGAGAAAAGCGCGAGACACGCTTCAATAGATACTTCGTATAGATCTTTGGAAATAAATTTGAACACAAAACGTCACCCACCAAATCATTGACCCCCATTTCCACCAAGGAGGAACAGAGATCTTTGACAATGAGCTTGAGGCCGATCGGTTGGTGAACCAAAAAAGTTTCATACAAACGTTTTTCGCGATTTTTCCACACTGACGGGTGGAATTTACCGAAACCGCGTCTTAACGTGCACCTTCACAAAATATTATTTACAGTGAAAATTTCAGCTTCCTAACTCTTACGGTTTCGGCTGTGCGCTGATCACCAATCACTCAGTCAGTCAGTCAATCAGTCATTTAGTCAGTCACTCAGTCAGCACAGGTTCCGATCGGAATCAAACTCATTTAAATAGATTATTATTAAACTTAATTGTAAACTTGTTTAGGTCTTTTCGCAAAATCCGCCATTTTTAATGAATGTTTTAAAGTTCCTTCGATCGGGTTCAAAATTGTCCTTTGAGGAAATTCGTTTTTCTGCTATTTTCGCAAATCCACCACCAAGTTCGGAAAATGAGCGGAACACTGCAGTATGCAACTGTTTTGTTTATCATCCCATCGTTACGAAACTCAGTTTCTTAAATCTATGTAAAATGTTATGGTGGAAATCCAGCATCCAACATCTAGTAATACGACTATAAACTTAATAATTTGAATGCAATCATTATAAATTTTATTTAGTTTTTTAATAAAAAATGGACTTAAGTAACTAGTCAACGAATTTAGGTGGCAGTCAACAGCTATCGTTCAAGGTTGCAGGTGTCGGGAAGGTGACTAACTGTTCCATTTTGTGCTTATATCGACAACCAGGGATCTTGGGCACAGACACACCTCCTAATCTTCCGCTTAAGCGATTCCAATTGGGCCAAGAGCTCCTTGCAGAGCGGTCCTTGTGGTGGACACGCGAAACAAGGCTTACCGCCAGGTCCACATGGCTTGCATGGGCTTCCTGGCTTTCGAGTTGTTGTTGGTATCGTTTTTGGTGTTGTTGTTGGTATCGTCTTGGGTGTTGTTGTTGGTATCGTTTTTGGTGTTGTTGTTGGTATCGTCTTGGGTGTTGTTGTTGGTATCGTTTTTGGTGTTGTTGTTGGTATCGTTTTTGGTGTTGTTGTTGGTATCGTTTTTGGTGTTGTTGTTGGTATCGTCTTGGGTGTTGTTGTTGGTATCGTCTTGGGTGTTGTTGTTGGTATCGTCTTGGGTGTTGTTGTTGGTATCGTCTTGGGTGTTGTTGTTGGAATCGTCTTGGGTGTTGTTGTTGGTATCGTTTTTGGTGTTGTTGTTGGTATCGTTTTTGGTGTTGTTGTTGGTATTGTCTTGGGTGTTGTTGTTGGTATCGTCTTGGGTGTTGTTGTTGGTATCGTTTTTGGTGTTGTTGTTGGTATCGTCTTGGGTGTGGTTGTTGGTATCGTTTTTGGTGTTGTTGTTGGTATCGTCTTGGGTGTGGTTGTTGGTATCGTTTTTGGTGTTGTTGTTGGTATCGTCTTGGGTGTGGTTGTTGGTATCGTTTTTGGTGTTGTTGTTGGTATCGTCTTGGGTGTTGTTGTTGGCTTTGTCTTTCGTGTTGTTGTTGGCTTTGTCTTTCGTGTTGTTGTTGGCTTTGTCTTTCGTGTTGTTGTTGGCTTTGTCCTTCGTGTTGTTGTCGGCTTTGTCCTTCGTGTTGTTGTCGGCTTTGTCCTTCGTGTTGTTGTCGGCTTTGTCTTTCGTGTTGTTGTCGGCTTTGTCCTACGTGTTGTCGTCGGCTTTGTCCTTCGTGTTGTCGTTGGTTTTGTCCTTCGTGTTGTCGTTGGTTTAGTTGGCTTGGTGGGCTTGGTTGGGTTAATTGTTTTTGTTGAGCAACGTGGAGTTGTTACTGGAGGACAAGCGGGTGTCGTTACAGGTGGGCATGCCTCTGTTGTAGTTGTTACTGGATTTGGTTTTGTTTCTGAGCACTCGCATTCAGCCGAGCAGAGCTGAGAACTGTTTAAAAGCAGGATGCCAGCTGAAAGTATGTACAATTGTCGTTTGCAATCCCTAAGCCTTAATGCAAGTCGGTATTACCAATAAGACAGCCAATAACTAGCTTCATGGCGAAGTATTCAGCAAGAACCCTGTTCGATCCCTTCACTCCTCGAAGTGAAAGGGGAAACTGACAACCTATTTGGGCCAACTTTCCCGTTATATAGAGCTTACCAGGCTACTCACTTTCTACACGTGCCTTTAATTTTAGAATTTAACAATTGCGCAAATAATTCATATATAAATAAATGCAACTACATTTTTAAGCAAATACTGTTCAACCTCGATTAAACGCAATGCACGGGAATGAGCTCGGATAGTCGAAAATTCCGTTTAAAATAACTCAAATATAAATATTCAATATATTTTTAAGTTTTGGGCATTGTGAGAAGCGCCTCTAATCAAACATTTGACATTCCAGCTAATAGATGTGTCTGAATAATAGAGATCCGTTAATCGAGGCTTAGCTGTAGTTGCTTGAGAAAACTTTAGTCAGGGTACATGTTAACTTAGTGTCAAAGTGCACATACATGCATACATGCGTACATAGGCGCATGTGTACATAACGTATGTACATATGTATGTGTATTGACATGCATCTCAGCAGGATATGTGCTCTCGATAGGGCTACCAGAATGTGAGGAGCTATCAGATCTGATTTGAGCCTGTTTTCGTTGTCTTCTATTGAGGTTGGCTTTGGTGTTTTCCTGTTTCGCTTTGCACCACACAACTTGTTTCGCCAGTTGAATGTACATGCATACATGCATTCATCTTTGCCCAGGTACATGTGTATGTACGCGAATATGCACAAACAGAAATGAATAACAACAATAGCCAAATAACTACGCATTTCAAATTGTACATTTTGACCCATATGCACACACACACACACACACACACACACGCATGCATATGGGTGAACGCGCGACAGAGCATAACATAATATAAAAAAAAAACTGTAAGATGTTTAGAAGAAGCGCAACAAAGAGACGAAGACGAAACCCAAAAAAGTACAATGAACCTTCTTCAAACTTCGCTGCGCTGGCAGCGACGCAAGCAGCGACTGCCAGCTGCCACCCCCCCCCCCCTCCTGCACATTATATACATAAATATGTACATATATACTTAGTATGCACATCGATAAATACATAAATGCTTACGCACATACGTATGCATGTACAAGCATATAAAGGGAAACGCACAACAAAGTAAAATGCAAGAGGAATTGTAAAAACAAACAATTTGCTGTTGCTGCTGCTGCTGCTGCTGCTGTTGTTGTTGGGGCTGGAAGTTTGCGGCCGCTGCCGCTGTCGCAGCCGCTGCAACTATTACATGCGGCGTTGGCAGCGCTGCCGCCACGACGAGCCCATGCATATCAAAACAAGTTCCGTTCCACACAAATGCCAGCACGTTTCGAAATTGCCGACGACGACGCATCACAACAATAACAAAAGCCCGGCCAACAAAACATTTTGGAAAACGAAACAGTGCATAAAAAGCGGCTGCAGCACTGCAGCAACAGCAACAGCAGCAGCAGCAGCAACAACAAAAACAATAACTTACAACTGTTGACGCTCCGAACGCAGCAATAATGCAACATAAAGAAGCTGCTGCTGCAGCCGCTGCCGCAGTCGCAGTCGCAGTCAGCTTCGAAGAAGCTGCGAGCCAGCATAAGCGCAGGGTAATCGCAGCATCTTAGGGTGGCTCAACACCATTTTTAAGCCTATCCAGCAAGAGATGCTTTTAAATATATTTATATTTATATTTTATTACAATAAAAGGAGTTTTTCATATTTATTTATGAATTTTGTTAAGTATCTGTATCGTAGACACATTGAGTCTAAAACAAAAGATACAATTGATATATATGAGACGAGTGTCTGTTACAAGTGTTGTAAGTGTAACCCAATTCCCAATTAGCAAAGGCAACAGCAGCAGTCACTCTGTAGGGGCTCCACTGGCTATTAGCAATGCGCCTTAAAGTTCATTAAAAATAAAACATGCTCTCGAATTTCCAGTACAATCGGGCTTACAAGCGTATGCGGTGCGGTGCCACCCTAA